GTATGAATCTGGTGATTGCCTATGTACCATATCATTCTTCACTCCCCCACGATTAAGTCACATTCCTCTGCACCCTCTCAGGAAAGAAGGTACAGAATGAGAAACATCTGCTGAAAGTGAAACACTTTCTCCTCAAAAGAGCTATGCCTAGTCAGGAAAAGCAGACCCTTTTTAGTAAATACATGACTCTCTGTTGTGCACAGTACATCACAATGCCCACAGACAACTCCTGTGTGATCCTTTGGCACTAACACAGAATTTCACTCTTGTGGAAACTCTAAGGTTCGTCATAAACAAACCCCAGACTTGCTTGAGTACAACTACAGACACATGCTATTTCTGAGATACATGCAGAAAAAAAAAAATCAGCAAAATATAAGCATCAGTATGTAAAGTGCTTCTGATTTTCTACTTACTAAGGGCACCATCCAGTTACAATTTAATTCTTACTTACTGGATATGTCCCCTGCTTGAGCATCTATGCTCTGCTGCCAGCAATCTTTGTGTGGGGGTCTTACTTTTGTCCAGCCCATGAGCAGGTGAATAAAGACCATCTGCATCAGCCCTCCAAGTGTTGGATGGGCTCCCCTTTGTTAGCCATGCAATGCATTGTGCGCACATGGTACTTCTCAGACAGAACACTGCTTACCTTAGTACCCAGGAGTGGAAAGATTTTACTGGGATGGGTGCTGTACTCATGAATGTGCTACAGTGATTTCCATTAGTTTTGAATAGAGTCCTCAGAGAGTCATAAATCAGTGAGTCTTCAGAAAAGTTAAGTTGTGTCAGGCTGACTTCTTCATCCCTGGTGTTGCTTATATAGAAATCTTTAACAACACAGAATTTGCCTCTACTTTTTCCTGTAAAGGGCATGTTTTCCCATTGCTGGTAATTCCTAATGGAGAGACTAGCACAACAGTTCCACACAGAAGCTAAAGGCTTTTGAAGAAATAGAATACTTTGGAAAAGTGTTTCCAGGAGAGATCAATGGGTACTCCTCTCCTCAAGCACTTTAGGGGCATTATTTAGAAGTTGGAACACCATCTGTTTCTGAGTAGAACTCTTCCTCAGTCCTGCCCGCTTACTGATGTAACTGATACAAGCAGTCTGCAGATGGACCCTCCCAGCCCATATGGAAAGGGAATTTGGCTGGATACATAGACTACTTTTTTCTTTCTGTAAAGAGGTCTTGGTATAAGCAGAGGGATGTGATCTAGACATCTAGTGAAGATAAGCAAGTTGGAATCATGTCTGCTGTGTCTGTTTGGAAATGCAAAACCCAGTTTTTAATGTTATTCAGTTAATTACCTGTAAATTAGTAATTATCCAATCAAAAATATTTTTTTTGCTAGGAAAAACTCTGCTCCTATTTAAAACTCTTTTTTCCTTGAAAAAATATTAAATCAGAAGGCAATGCAACATAAAACATAAAGTGTATTAAAATTTAAAAGTCCATTAAAACCAAGGTTACATCAAGCCAAACAACAAATGCCTTTTTTTTTTTCCTTCACAAGGTGTGTTTTAGAAAACTAAATTATAAACCAAAACATTTGGTGACTACTTAGCTGATAGATGCCAAAAAAAAAAGCCAAATTATTTGTGAGTATTCCTCTACTAGCAGCAATGTGAAAATCTATTTTGAAAACCTCAGGTAAACTCCCTGCTTGTTTTATACACGAGTAGCTGATTAAAATAGGACTGCTTGAATGAATAAGCAATTAGGATCTGATTATATTCAGGTAAACTGTAGTAGGCTTTATTTTAAAGAATTAATAAATGATTCTCAGCTGATGTCTTAACTTCTCTCAGAAGGTGAATCAAGGTCTCTTACTATACAGCCAAGTACTGAGATTCTTCAGAACAGTGCTGATTTTTAACAGATTTCGATGAAGTCATTTCTTTGTTGAATCATCTTTAACACAGCGGTCACAGTTCCTTACTCATATAATAAAAATCATGCAAATATCTGTTTAGTTTATGCTAAAGACAGGCTCATTTAAATAAGGGAACTGATGTTCATTTACTCTAGTGTGAATGAAGCCTGCTGCAATATTTCTAAAAGTGGACCTGCTCTTACTGCAATCCAAGAAGTGAGCAACACTTTTACTTTGCTCTGTGACAACTGCACTCTAATAATCTCAATTTTGCTGTACATTTAGCTGTTCCCACAGCTGTATTTTTCTTAGCTAGCCTTTGCATGAGATATTGTTCCACACAGCATGCAAGCACTCTACAAAAAACTTCAGTATGAAGCACATGTTCTACAACAGATATATGGTGATTTGGCAAGTCTTTATCTTTAAAACTTTCTCAGGCTTAAAAACTGCCTTGCATGTGAGCACAGCTCCAGCAGAATCCTGATGCTGTGCTCATTGAGGAGAAAGACTATGCTTTGTGAGGACACTTCTCATGTAAGCATGTCCAGCCCAACTGCACTTCCATAATAACTTTCTATTAACCTAAAGACCTTCTAAATACAAGTTCAATTTGACTGATGTTCTCCTTTTCAGCTCCTCTTCCCACGAGGGAGCTATAGGTTTTCCCAGGCTGCCCTGTTCAATAAATGTGGAACGTTCTCCCTAGTTCCGCATGTCCTGTATTCTTCAAATCCTGCATTACAATTTTTTTATTAGCTTTCCATTTATCCAGCCATCCATCTGAACTGAAAAGATACATATGCATACGGTGATAAATCTAGCTCACTGCCTTTTGCTACTACCACTCTTCATCAGTCCATTCCCCCTCTTGATTTCATCCCATGCTATATTAGCCTACAATTGATTGTAAACTCCAGGGACAAGAAGCAGCCATTTTAAATTATTTTTATATTATAGCATTGCCTGCAGCCTTCAGACACTTTGGACACCTCTTCAGCAAGGCATTATACAAATACCTTGGAAACGAGAATATCTGTCTCAAGAGCTTACATGAAAGTCAGTCACGACAGGGAGTAGGAAAATATTATTGTTCTCCTTTTCCAGATGGAAAGGTGAGACATCAAGTCATACAAGAAGTCTGGGAAGAGCCTGTATTTGAATATAGATTTTTATCCAGGATCATAAGCATGGCCCCAGCCTTTGTCTGACAACCAGCATGAACCCTTACAGCACTAAAGTAAGCAGTGAAAGCTGAACTATATTAAAAATAAAATCAGAAAGCTGCATTTACAGTAGAAAATAGAAGGGGCAAGAGAGATGATGCCCTGGCATCAGATAGGAACAAGAAACCAATGATCAGGAGGAGGAACACTGGTGAAGAAATTTCCTCCCCATCCTAAGAGTTGCAGCTGCTGCTGAGTGAATATATATGCCACGAACATATAAAATATAGATTTATATATACAAATATACAATAGCAAAGAGTCAGTATACAAATACTTACATGTAAAAATAGCTCTTTACTTTCCCCTTTTCATGATTTACAAAAGCATACAAAGTTTCCTGTGGTTAATGTTTAAGTAGTGTAAGTAAACCCTGTGTGTCATGTTCCACACGTATTTCTTTCAAGTGTTCACAGTATTGGCTATTACAGTGTTGAATCTGACATTCCGGACGTTAAAATATTTGTAGGACACATTCTAAACTTAAAGCATTAACTCAAATACAGTTTAAATAAAACTCACATGTGTAGTTGAACTATGGTCATGTTACAAATGAGTCTGCTGGAGTTGAAAACTTTCCATGAAAGTAAGCTTGGAAATATATACTTCAACTAGAGATTAATATATTTTAAAATTCTTGAACTGCGCCTTGATGTGCAGATAATACTGCGAGATGGTGAGTTCTTTCAACTCCATCTGAAGCAACGCAAGCTAAGAGAACTCCGTATTACAAATTATCCTCAGTAGGAGAGTGGATGGACAGAACAATCCTCCATCAGATCCAGACATGCTGTCACTTTCTTCAGCTACCCAACAGACAAGAATAAATGACAGGTACCATTGTTTTTGTGTTAAGAATCAATGCTCTGCAGCATTCCTCATCAGGAAAGTGCTTTATGGACTTAAACGAATCCTCATAACTCCCTTGTAAGTTAGACAGATACTATCCCTGTTTTCAAAGATAGAGCAACTGGAGATTTAAAATAAATTTATGATGGCTGCATGGGAAAAACTGTCAAAACACCGGTATTTGGATGTTGGAGCAACTCAAAGGCACAACTGGATCAAATGGAGATGTTCATGAGACAACTTCACACTAACCTGCTTGGGTACTGACAGCAGGCTTGGTACAACATCCAAAGGTTCATCCTGGACTGCAAAGCACTGTCTTTGCTAAGAGCCATGCTGCTGGAGCCAAACTGTGGGACAACAGCCTCCAAAAGTACAAACATCATCATCCAAGATGGTGCAGCCTGACCAGTGTGGAAGGAAGCTGCATTTCAGAAGTTCTGAATTAATCAGGAGCCTTGAGTAAAAAGTATCCTCTCACGTGGGAGTTGTGTGCAGTTCAAGAACCATATTTAGCTCATCTCTAATTTTACCACATATGCAAGTGCTCACACATACCAATGTATTCAGGTGTGTTTTAAAATTTACTCACACATAAACCTTTGAGGTCTAAATTTTTTCTCATTTTTCTTGTAAATTTCTATTAATACCACGAATGGAACTAGTGCTGCAGTACTGCAAATGAGCTACAAATACTAATTTTAATTAATTAAGGTGATGGAGAAGTTTTAAAGGACCACCCTGTTCTCTTTGTGTACCTGTATATACAGGAAATCTCATCTGTCTTTAACTGCTACTGCCTTGAAATAAAATCCAGTTAAAGTATAAAGTGCATTGTGTGGAGTAAAACCCTAAGAAATAACAAACAATGTGTCTGCCTTCCATAGATCGATTAATTTTGCTTAACAGCTGAACCATCGACCCTCTTCATCTTCTAGTTTTTAGCTTAGTGTTACCTAGACTGAGAAAGGCCAGCCAGATGTAAGCAAAATTATTGTAAACTGAGACATTTTTGTAATATGCTGTTAAGGTAGAGTTAAGAAAACCAGTATCAAGACACTGTCCAGTTGGGATGTGTAAATATTATTGTGTGCTTCTTGGCCCATTTAGCAAATACTTTCTTTTCCGTGATAAATCTATGGCCTCCGTATGGAGCATTTTCATGGAGAAAGTATTCCTCACACTCGTCTCTTCCTGGCTCGTAATAGTGGTAGGGAACTTTATGAAAGCCTTCTGACCTAGGGGAAAAAAAGATACACTTAAGTATTATTTTAAATAAAAAACATTTATATATACTACGCTTGAATTCACTGAAATCCTTTCCATGTGGCATCACCTGAGGTCCTTTGGTAAACTGTACAAGGGCTTTCATTACAGGATGATTTGTATGAATTTCCCTACAGAAAACGAAGATAGGTGTATCTCTCAAACTACACAGATCTTAGCAGTCAGTAAGAAGCTGATGGTCTGGTTCTTACGGGTACTGCACATTTTATTTAACCTGGGACAACTCAGCCCATAAGGCTCCATCCCTAAGCAAAGTCTTCTCTTTGGATAGTCCCAGCTCTTGAAACTAGCTCTTGAAATGGCTGAATAAGGCAGTTCTAAGAACAATATACATTTTAGGTAGGTAACATAGACAGAACAACAGCTTTAAGGAAACCCATCCTTCTCTGCTGACAACAGACTGAAGTGCTATCACGCTGTTAACTGGTTTTACATCAGGGCTATACAATGCCAGCTTGACTGAACTCTGTGAGGACAACTTTAGTCCTGTCACCCTTCGTCTCAGGGTGTCTACTGTGTTTTCATAAACAAAGAACAACATATGTTCATTCCATCTGGATGACTCACTCAATCAGTGAGATCTGCAAGTTCTAAAAAGTCAGTCTCTAATGTTAAGATACCGTAATTAAACAGCTGTGACTCATATTCCCTTTTTTTTTTTTCCTTGGTTTTTTTTTTTTAGGGTCTGCCAGGAATGAGTCCCACACAGGAGTAACACAGAATGCAGAATGAGGGTCTGCACAAAGACTTTGGTCTAGGAGCTGAGGACCCGCTGGGCTGGCTACACGCAAGTCTTGAACCAGCCTAGGTACAGAAGAATAGATTTGTATTAGTATCATACAGTGTTTATGACATTTCCTGCTTTTCTGAATGAGAAATCGTTTCATTTTATATTTTGCTACCATATACTGCAGATTAAAGCATTTAACTTGGACTTTTAGAAATTGTGTTTAGAGCTATACTTCTGACAATAGGATTAATCCATTGTCACTGTAAGGCCACTAACAGCAGTTGGTTGGAATTTATGTCAGTTTACTGTGATAAAGCTTGCAGGACTTGTTTTATTATCTAATTAGAAACCCCTTACTACTCAAAACAAGCTATATATAATCTGTAACGTTCAAGTAGGTTGCTCAATGGTGGTGAAATGTAATTTCAGGTAACTATCCTGGGCTAATCAGTTTATTTCACTTCCAGGTGTATTTGGTATTCAGAGAACTAATACATTCGTATTTCCTCTATAGGTTTGTTTTAGCAGTAGAAGTAAGTACATTTTGTCAGAAGAGTATGAACATACTTTGTTTCCAGCTAATTCAGAAACTGCAAAAGATCTTTGATTAAAAATAGTTCCTTCTGACATCTGATAGTAGATTTTGTAAATGTTTTTATTTTATCAACAGCAAATGCCATATCAGGACTAAATATGCTGACAATAGTGTCACATCAATGCAAAACACAGGGATGTGAATGCCTGATCCATTTTTGGATTTATGATATTAAAATCGCTTGTGAAATTTTGACAAGACATCAGAATTGCAAATGCATGAAAATAATTTCCTGTGATCTTACTTGCAGTAGGTGTCATTTATCATCCCATAGACGTGAATTCCATAGCAGGCATCCATAGCCAAAATTAAGGTAAACCAACCCGTACTGAGATATGAACCTGACTGGACTCTGTAAAAATACAACATACACAAAACAAATCGCAGTGAGAAATTATCAACACTTTGTCAAAGAAATAGAATATATTACCCGGGACAAAATGCTTTAAGCAACTTGACAGTTTGTCAAAACCATACAGTTATTTTGAATTGTTTAGAGATATGCTCTCATTCTTGCCCGCTTGGGGCCTGAAGCTATTGTCCACAGAAAAAATACCACGTTAAATATTTGAAGTCAAACAATGCATCTCCCATAAGACAGAAAATAATTCATTTTTACATCCAAAAGATAGCAATTAGTAGAGTGTGTAAAATGAGACAAAGTTCACCAAAAAGCAAACTACTGGCAAAGGTTGTGCTGTGTACATTTGAGTATGCACCATCCTTTTCCACAGGCAAAATCTTAATCTGCAGTGGGCTATCCTCAGCTTGAAAATTCACAGAGTAATGAAACTTGTAAGGATATTTTGGTAGAAACCCATCTAATACAAGGCTTTGAAAAGCAGAATTCTGTGCATATCCCTTTACATAACTTTGCGTTATCGTTCTTTAAGATAACATAGCAGAGAGAAAACCACAAGAGGACAGTGCCCAGATTGATAACCTTTGCTCAGATAAGTAGTTGTATTAAATCAGTCCAAAAGTATTACCTGCATGAGAGAAAACAAATGATGTGTAAGGATTTGGCTCACACATTGGCTTATGTGAGCATATGTCTGCATTGTTAATTGCAGACCAAATCCTGTTCACTCTACTCTCACAAGTGTTACCAATAGGGGACTGGGAGTCCACAGAGCTACCCATATAACCTGGGCAAGCAAGACTTACTGCCTTAAAACCTCATAAGTAATCAGAACATACTTAGCCCTCACTGCTTAAAAACTGACTGAAGTCCAGCTTTGTGCATGTATTGCTTTCAGTTTGACTGAAATAAATGCAAATAATTACCTTAAAATTATAAATAACTTGTCCAATTTCCAAAGAAAGATATCACAAAAGTCATAAAACCATCTCAAGAGAGACCCAACTTTGGCTCAGTTTGAGAGAGTTTGGTGTGAGGCAGAGGAGAAGATAATTTAGCTTTATGCCACATGTTTTAGCTCTTAGCTTTTGGGTACAGCAGGGAGCAGTCTGTTCTCCACCATAAGTTAAAGAAGACTAAGATTTGCACACAATTAAGTTTTGTTGCAAAAGAACTCCCAAGTAGGACTATGTGAATCTGTTATTGCCATCAACAAAATCTTCTGAAAACATTTTCATCCTGGGGTAGGAATAAAGCTTTCATGTGGAAAAAAAAAAATCATATAGAAACTTATCAAGCCTGTAAAGCCCAATTTTCCTGTGAGTCAGAAGAACGAAACTCAGGTGTTTCTTCCTCATTCGGAGCAAGAACGTACTATGGTCTCCTGTCTCCCAGGTAAATCTGCCAATCTGTGGCTTTTGGCTCAGATTCTGTGTTACTTCCTTGCTTTTTCTTGTTGGAAGTTTGACTAAATGCTAATTATGATGATGAGTGAAAAAGTAGTTGTACAAGCTTTATAATGACATTTACATGACATACAGAACTGAGATTCAAATTCCTTCTCTGATTAATACCTTTTATTATGGATGGTAGAAAAGCTCCAAGAGCTTTACATTCCTAAAGAAAATCCAGTGCACTCCAGTTTAAACAAATCTTATTTTATTATTGAAAAACAATTACCTCAACTCCCAGAGAGTTTTATTGTACTCAAGAACAAAGTAGTTTGGGCTGCATCTTCTCTTCCTTGCCCATGCTTATCATCCTTCATGGGTTAGCTGGTGTGAACTTCTATCCCTACCTTTCCTGAAATGTCCTTTTCCTTGGGGAACTCCTAAATATTTGTGTAGCTGCTTTTGTAAATGACTATTCTGGAAACAATAAATAAAGGGTTAACTTAGCACTGAAGAATGACAAGTGGGAACAAAAGGCAGGGTGTCAAATACCCGTGTTTTGTTAGCTGGACACCAGCTATAATTGTGCTGCTTTACTTGACATCTTTGTAGCCACAAAATTGTACCTCTGTTTATCTGTCCCGTTAAGATTTTCAGTCCTTCAAACAGAATATTCTGCTACTGTCCAGCAAACAGAATTCCCAATCCGATTAATTTTAATTCTGCCATGATAAAAAGCTGCATTGCTTCTAACTTGCTTTCTGTTCTTGCACCGGAAGAACACTAGCCTTGAGCTTTTAAACCCATTTAGAATCATAATAACCATTTATAAGAACACTACAAAGATCAGGACACTTCCGATAATGGAGGTTTATTAGAGAGTACTATATTGACAATAGCATCTAAAATTTGCTATACTCAGGAGGAAAAAGGATTTTAAAAAAAGCATTAATCAATATTTCACATCTTATTTTAACACCATTGGACCTTAGTCCTCTCATCTATATACTATATTGGCAGGATAAATAAAAACTGCGGAGTTCCCAGATACATTCCTTGGGAGATGAAGTACATGAGAGAATACAGATTATATACTTTAAACCAAAGCACTTACATTCCTCCCATTTTTTCCTCTGAAGATATGTAGGGATGCAAGGGAATATACTTAAGCAGTGGGGATTCTGGATGATTTGGTAACACCTTAGAATTCAATCTGATACTGTAAACATACTTTCAACATTCTAATGAAAGCAGTATTAGAAATGTGAACACAATTTTGGCTGTCCCTAAAAAGTCATAAATCTCTGAATAGCTTTTAAAATATCATCCCATAAAACTGTAGTGCAAAGCAATGTCTCAGCCCTTGCTATTATGCTAACACTCTGCACTCAATTTCTTTCTCTACAGGAGAGTTTTACATGTTTTTTTGGCCAGGGCTTTTTGAGACTTATTGGAAAGAGTTCCTCTTGTTACTGCAACTGCATTCAGATTTCAAATTTTACACTGAAAAGAAAAGAATGTTCCAGTGTAGCAGAAGGCTACGTTACTGCACAAATCTGAGGGAAGGAGGACATTAACCCCAAAACAGGGAAAACAGAAGTTTGTTCAACAACATCCGTAGAACTACTATAGGCAAATCTATTGTGATATATCTGTGTGCAGCAAATCCAAAATTGTTCCCTATGGCTCACAGTGACTTTTTCTTATACTCTAAAATTAATGAGGCACCAGATCTAGGCAGGAAATTGTCTCAACAGCTCAGGAGAAAATAATGCACTACTTTTCAAAAAATGCATTTAAAAAGAAGATGATTTTGCTTTCAAGACATGATTTACAGCTGGATGCAGCAATAAAAAGGCAATGCTCACAAAAAGTTACTTTGTCTGTTTATCTTGAAAATGAAAGCTTATTTTGCATACTTTCTACATATTAGGATTCTTAAAGAAATGTTAGTTACTGGGATGTAATTCATTCTGCTAAATACCATCCAGCTTTTCAGAAAAGTACATAGGCATGTGCTTAACATTAAACACATGATAAGACCAATGGAATAAACATGATTAAGATGCTTGAAAAAAAGCCCAGGCTTGCCTGCCTTGCTCTTAGCGAAGGTTTAAGTGCTTAAAATGTCATTATTTCATCTCAGAATATAAAAGTAAGCTCCAAGATTAATAGTTATTTGCAAGTTTCAAGTCTCAAAACAGAATTTGCATTTTTTAGTAATGCTTTCTATAAACTCTAGAAGAAAAACTCACTATAGTTTCTCACACCACCTTAAAAAGGAGACTTGTCTTCTATATTTTAGAAGGAAATGGTAAAACACACGTTTAGGATTGCCGAAATTGTAATGTGTGATACTTCCAGAAGATATTAAGTAACAAACAGCTTGCCAAAACATTAACTAGACACTTTCCCTTTTTTGCTTCATTTCAAAATATTGCAGTAAAATAAAATTCAACAATGACAGATTGAAATGACAAGATTCTCCAGGCCAATTAATTGACACAAAAATTATCTTTTCATAAAGGCTGTTTATAGACTATAATCCTCAGATGACCCTCCCACTAAACTCTGAATCAGCGGCAGCTTTATTTGCAGCAGCTTGTCAGGCCCCTTGACTAATAAATAGGTATAAATAAGGATATTGGTTTAAAAATACTAAGAAACCTGTAATCCACAGAGTGGAGGCTTCATAATGTGAGATGTCTTTCCAACATAGTAAAAGATTTATAAAAATGATTCAAAATAGATAGAAATATTTTCAGAACTATGTCAAGATTAGCTTAGACTGTGTTCATGTAGACTTATCTCTGGTACTTACTTGTATCCCCAGTGCATGAAGATACCGTTAATCATCTGGGAGGGGGTCAGTATACTCTGGTTTTGCCTGGCTCTCTGCTACTCGCCCTGTGTCAGCCTCATCCGCGACTGACCCTCAGGAATGAGGGTAGAAGGTACATGTCCCCTCTGCACTCCCTTGGTAAAGACAACCAGATCTTTTTCTCCTTGGTTTACTATAGGTTTTTGCATTGCTGAATAATAGTACGTTTCCTTACTACTAAAAGTATGGAAAATTTATCTGCAAGCATAAACTGGTGATCCATTACTATATTCTATACTAATCAAATTAATGCTACCATTGTACTTAGGTGACTGAGATTTCTCTTACTGAGGAAGCATCTCAGAAAATAGCTGCTGAACAACTCTTCCTCTTTGCCAGATTAAACGCCCACATTCCCAAGTCACAGATTTGGTCTATGCCTCCACTTCATATCAAAAGTAGATCTGTAAATGACAGATTAGAATGAGCTGACAGAAGAATACTGCCACGTCTGAGATAACAGCAAGGCTCATTTTCCTAGCACCTCTCCTTTAAGGAGCACATGTAATTCTCATGCCAGCAAGCTGTTCTCTTGAAAGGAAAAATGAAAGTACTTTCGGTACAGGAGAATGGTAAGACTCTAAATGCTGAAGAGTATTAGCACTAGCCTAGATTTAATTCTGTTTTCTGTAAGAGTCAGTGCTTTGCTGCCAATAATATCATTACACACTTTCTGCAGAAAAAAAAGCACAAGAAGAGCAATGAAGATGCAAGGGCAG